AGTCGCTGTTGACGACAACAGTTTTGATGCCGTATCAACTTTACCATCCGCAAAATTTGTTCTAATGCGCTCATCAGTTTTTTCATGCTATAAATAAAACAACACTGATATTATTTTTTCACTCTATAATTATAATATAAAAACAAAAAAAAAAACCTGCCAAAAGGCATCTGTTTTAATCGGTTCCTTTTAAGCTTAGCTTATTTTTTTAAATGTTTTTTGAACGCAAGGCAAAGGCATGAAGTGAATTTTGGAAGAGACAAAATTTAGGCGATAGTCAAAGAACTGAGGCTGAAGAACAGTGGAAAAAGCAGCAAAAAAAGCCAAAATTTGTATAAAACAAAAGATGAATGTAAAAAAACAGCAAAAAAAAAAAAAAAAGCTATCAAACAAACGAAAAATTTATTTTTGTTTTCAATCTCTGAAACTGTATAAAACAAAAAATAAATTTGAAAAAAAAAAAACAACTTTTTATTTCAAATTTTAGCCACAAATCAAATGCTTCTCTGAAAAAACCTAAAATTTTTTTTGTTCAGCTTTTATTAGAAGACATCTTTTTTCTGTTTCTTCTCAGTTTCTGCAGTATTTCGTTCGTTAGCCAACTTCTCGTTTTCATATGTCTTTTCCAAATTGTTGTTGTTGCTCTTTTTTTTGGAATTGAGCTTAATTTTTAACCGCAAAAATTAAAACTGTTTCACTACCTTCCTATTTGAAATTTTAATTTATAAAAAAGAGTTGTTTTTTATACTTCTGCCAAAAATAAGCGTCAAATAATTGGGTATTTATAGACAAAACTAAAGCGAAATTAGTAAAAAGAAATGAACAATATATCAGCGACTATAGTATTTTAAACCAATTATCATCAAATCTTTGGTGACTGTTTGATAAACCTCCTTCTCTCAAGAAAGAAAAAAAAACGATAATAGGAGCATAAAAAATCACCTCAGATTTTGGATTGGAATCTATAACAAATTCTTCAGTTGGCTCTTTCTTAGCATCTACATAATAGTCTTCATCAATTTCTTTAACAGCTGTACGATGTACTGTTGGTCTATCGACGTTTTCCCTTGACGTTTCTGTCTCCTAAACTGTTCAGATACTGTTTGATCAGATATCATTTAAATTTCAAAAAATTTTGCTCAACTTGATTTCTAGTTTTTTAACCGCCTCATAAATGTTAAAAATTTTTTGAATGGTTTTTCTTTTTTGAACATTCATAGTATCACAGGTTTGAATTTAAAGCTTGTTTTTCCTTCAATTTAAAACCCAACAGATGCGTGTTATATTCGAAGTGAAAGATGAAAAGAGCATTAAAAAGTTTAGTGCTGTTTTTAATTTGATAAAAAGCGTTGGTCAATGTCAATCGTGATAAAAGCGTCTGTTAAAAACAATTTTAACCATACCAGATCTGGAAACAGCGTGGGCATAGATTTTTCGGTTGTTGTTGGTACCGTAAAAGCAGATTTATCAATGTGAATTAAACTTTCTTCTGGTTTTGGACCTCTGTCTTCCTCATAGTCTTCAGGATTTGGAGCCGGAAAATTTTCACCAATTTGACTTAAATCTATGCCAGCCAATTCTTCACCGCTCTCTCTTTCACCATCCGGACCGTGTCGACGATGACCGCCTCTTTCTAAAAAACTTTTAGTTTTACATAAATTTTACATCAATGAGTATCTATCGCCAAAATAAAAAGAAGAAAACTAATAGCAAAGATAGCCAAATTTGATTAGATACATTATCAGCCATCTATTTTGCTGTTAATTTTTCAATCAGAATGCTTACTTAACGTCTAAAAATCTTGTGTACAAAGTAAAGCAATGCTATATCGGTTATGATTTACAAAAGCAGTCAAATATTAGCAGAGGTAAATGATTTCTTGTTAAAAATAAGAAAACAAAAAACAAAAATTAGAAATAGAAACTATTGTTGAAGCTCAATTACTGAAAGCTCGATTACTAGGAAACATTAAATGTTAGTGGTAACTGACCTGGAAATCCACCTCGAGATAAAAGTCGATCCTGTAGTTCTCGTTGATTCTAAAATAATAAAAAAAAAAGTTTTTTTTTTGTAACTTAAATAATTAGAAAAAAAAGCAGTTATAATTTTTAATTGAAAAGTAAGTGACAATAAATTTTGATGGCTATTTACATAATTGCTCATCGTCAGATACATCAAATATTATGATGATTGTATTGCATTTAAACAACACTAAACGTATACACTCACTGTGACAATGTTGTTGGTCAAATCGTTAAACCATCGACCTTCAGATGCATGATTTAAGATCCCAACACCGGTACCAGTAAGTTCCAGAGCAGCTTGGGCTAGCTGATATACTGTAACATTGATACAGTGTAAAACTTTTATATGTGGTAAGCAAAAAAAAAAAAAAAAACCAAAAGAAATGCTCATATGTATACAAAATAGTTTTTGCTCCTTTTCTTTACCTTTTTTTTTTTTTGTATACAGAGAGGAACAAAACTGAAAAATAATTTTATAACTGTTTATAGTTTGCTGCAAATAATGTTGGTTTGTAGATATTTTTTTCATTATTTATATACTAACTGTTTACTGGTATTTTTCTTCTTCTTATTTGTATGACATTACATATTTGTAGTTAAAAAATGTATTTTTTATTTCTTTGTTCTGTAGTTGTTCGGGTTTTTTTTTTTTTTT